TACCAATACCTTTTTAAAACCTTATGGTCATGCCAAACCCAAATGTATCTTACATTTTTAAAAGGGAAGGAGTACTTATGCTCATCTATTGTTCATTTTTTAGTAATATTTTTATCCCATTTCCTACCCAAAGTGCTTCTACTAATGTCATATATAAATCTCCCAGTTCTCAGTTTAAAATTAATAGAACTCTTCAATCAATTATACAGCTTCTGCTCGAAATATTGATTAGTAACAGATTAACCTCTGAAAACCATCCAATTTTCTACGAATTGTTCATACTATTTGGGTAAGGAAAGCAAGACCAGCTATATTAAAACCTGAGCAGCTTTCAGAACTTCGCTGAATGGACCATCACTGAGCTTAATACATGCAGTTTCATCACAGATGACGTTATTAAGCTCGTCGATCAAGGTGTGCGGTTGCAATATCCCCTTCCCCTGCGCCACAAATCTGTCAAGAAGAAAAGATGATAAAAAAAGAAATTGAATCTTTTTACAGGAATTTCATCGATATCTAGAAATTGATATGATCACATACCTGGAGAGAAGAGCAACCAGTTCATTTCTGTGAGCATATAGAGTGTCCTCCACTCTCTCCCTCATGCTAGGAATTCTTTCGAGCTTAGGCCCCGAAGTCGACATCTTCCGGCGCTTCCTCTTGTAACCACAAATCCGGCAAGACACTCGGATGGTATGTTGGAATAGATTGTTAGCAGAAACTTTGTTTTTCTTCGTGTGAATACGGATAGCTATACAGCAGAGACGGTGGTGGTTTCAAGTTTCAACCTTCCAGAAGATAGAGATACGCGTGAGTAATTGGAAGCAGTAGGGGCCGTTTGTTTTGCGTTTCAGAGCAGAAACAGAAAACAATTTTAGGGGCCCTTCCACGGCTTCACTTATACGGAGTCAAATGAACAAGAAGCAAGCAATTATTGCATGCACGTGTTATCACTTCGAGACTTGGAGTGATAGTTCGGTCTTTTCCAATGTTCAAGGGCCCTACCTCGTGATTGACAAGATAATGATACTCCTCCGTCGAAAGAAGTTCTCCCTTTCTTTATTTGGATGTCTCTAATTTAAGTTCTTATTTGCTTAAATGGAAAGTTATTTACATCAAAACAGTGTCAAACAGTGCAAAACAGTGTCAAACATTGTCGAAACAGTGTCAAAACAGTAAAATTTACCCCCTGGTAAGTTTGCTTGAATAAAAGTGTGTGAAAGTCAAATGAGGAACTTCGTTCGGGGACGGAGGGAGTAATAGATTTTGTATTCGTGAGTACCAAATGTAGGTGTGACCTTCACACCACTATTGTTGATTTTGATTCTTGATCAATGTTCTGACTTTTCCATCACTCAATAAATTGAACTACTCGTGCGGATTCGGTCTTTGCAATATCATCTAAACTAAGGGCTCGTTTGGTAGTTTACTCATTAAAACTTTACATGCAATATTACATGTAAAGTTTAGGGTAGTAGAATAGTTTACATGTAAAATAGAACACATCGTTTGGTTATGTGTGTAATCTATTTTGAAATTACACACAAACTCTTTACATTGTTTGTTTAACCGGCTTCATATACTACGGTACATACGTATAATATACATAAAATATACATATAATGTGTATATATATATACAAAAACAAAAAAAAAATACACCAACGTTTCTTAAAAACTAAGCAACTCCATTAAACAAAACTAAGAAACTCCCGCAGTATAACTTTTAGATTCAATTAAACATCAAATCTCAGAAATAATTGGCCTGGAAGTATAGAACCTGTTGGTTAACGTGGATGGAGAGCAGATTCAAAGTGTAGAACCTCTTGTTTTCCTAAATACTCGTACTACGTAGGAGGAGAAAACCTGCCGACAATATTTTTGCTTTGCTGCTACGTTACGATGGAGTCTTCAGAGCGGCTAGGGTGTAAAGTAGTTTACTACCCTCCCCCCATGTAAAATATTTTACATAGTATGGTGTAAAGTGTGGTTAAAAAAGTGTCCTACAGTTTACATTAAATAGTTAAAACAAACGGTGTAAAATGTTTACTTCCCCACACTTTACACGCAAAGTGTTTACTTTACATTGTAACAAACGGGCCCTAATTTCATATGATCTCATTTGTTTATTTATGGTGTTTGATATTCCTTATTAAATTTTGTTCAATAAAAAGTACAACTTCATCAACAATATAATATAATTGTATAACTATCAATAAGTCTCATATTATCTCAATTATAGAAACAATCTCTCAATAATAGTCTTATGTGACTGCATTTATTTTATTGAGAATAAAAAGAGACATATAATTACAATTAAAAAAAATTATCATCAAACCGAATAGGGAAAACTGTCAAATAGGTCCTCCAACTTTCAGAAAAAGTCAATTAAGTCCTTCTATAGGAGACTCTGTCCGGCCATCGCGATTTGGGGCGGTTCTCGGTGAAATTTTTTGATGAAATTTTTTGAGCATCTTATTCATAAAGTCTAGTTTATTCATACCAAATTTCAGCTAAAAATTCAACTGGGAAAGCATTCAAATTAATTCGAGAACGCAAAAATGCGCAGTTATCTTCAAGAATTAATTTGAATGTGTTCCTGATAGAATATTTAGCTGAAACTTGGAATGAGTAAACTACACTTGATGAATAAGATGCTAAAAAATATTCATCAAAAAACTCCATCGGGAACCGCCCCAAATCGTGACGGCCGGACAGAACATCCTATAGAAGGACTTAATTGGCTTTTTTTATGAAAGTTCGAGGACCTATTTGACGGTTATCCCAACCGAATAATATATTAAATCAACAAATCATTCGCCAAAAGGCTAGCAATTCAATGAGGAATATCATCATAATTAATCCTCTTATCTGAGATGCCAACGTGAAACCTTGCTAGCGATGAGCAGCACGATTCACAGACTGTCTATAAAAAGAGACAATAAAATTACTATTTGTTTTTAAGAATGTTACTAATATCATCAATAATAAGATGTAAATAAGTCGATCCCTCGCCCTTCTTTATTCCTTGCACAATCCTTCTCGACCTTTACCTGCTGCCAGCCCGCCTCCACTGCTGTCACCTGAGCATCATGAACCCCCGTAGCCCCTGTCTCAACTACGGTCCAACCAGCCGTGTGGGTAGCTCCTCCCACCTTAATGAAGTCACCATATTCGTCCCTCGCAATCCAGTCTCACGCCCTTCTATGCCCTTCCTGATTGACAGCTCCATCCACATTTATTTTGATAGCCCCCGACCTCGGTCTCACCCATCCCAACCACCGTATTTCTTCTTTTCCAAATACTCCAAAGAATAGCAACAAACTTGTCTCTTTCATCTAAATCCAGGGTGTCTGGCTGTTGTTTTACCCATGACTCCACCGAGCCCTGCTCGAACCCCGTATAGGCGCCAACCTCCCTCCAAACTGGTTGGACTTTAGGACACGCTATCATAGCATGCTCAAGAAACTCAGATAGCTCATCACAAAGTTTGCAACCTCCCTGGATATCCACGCCTTTTTTTCTTAAGCTATCTATGACCGGAAGCGTTCCATCCAGAACCTGCCAGACAAAAAATTTAAATTTTGATGGAACCTTATAATCCCACAAATTCTTCCAACCACTCCAATCATTCGCCTAAAATTCGCCCATCAGCAATCGGTAACATCTTTTTACTGAATAAAGGCCATTATTATCCCATTTCTACCAATACCCATCCTTCGTGTCTTGTGAACTGATCAATATACTGCAGATTAAATTTCAATCCTCATAATTAAATAGAGAGGAAATCTTGTCAGTATTCCACTTCTTCCCTGTAATGTCTCGAAGAGCCGCCACATTCATATCCCTAACACCCGTGGGCCGAGTAGAAGTAATTTTCCCAGAGCCCTGCCCAGGCAACCATGCATCCGCCCAGACCTGGACCTCAATACCATTCCCAACACGTCTTCTTATATTATTTTTTAGAATTCCCTTGGTCTAAAAAATACTTCTCCAGATAAAGGAAGGATTTTTCCCAAATTAACATTAAAAAAATTGGAGTTATGAAAATACCTAACCTTGAGAACTCGGCTCATAAGACATCTCTCATCTGTGACTAACCAACCCTATTTGCCCAACATAGCCAGATTAAATTCTCTTAACCTTCTGAGCCCCAAATCTCCCACTTCCTTCGGCTTGCATAACCCGTTCCAACTCCTCCGTCTCAACCCTTTATGATCTAGTTTGGAACCGCGCCACCAGAACTCATTCATCAATTTTTCTATGTCATCACATAGCTCTTTTGGGTGCAGAAAAACATTCATAGCATAGGTGGGCATGACCTGCACCACATTTTTCAATAAAATTGCTCTGCCAACTCTAGACAAAAACTGATTATTCTAGCTTTTAACTCTGGCATGAATCATGTCCCGAAGACACCCAAGAATAGCTGTTTTATTTTCCCCCACCAAATCTAGCAGGCCCAGATGTTTCGCCTGCCCACCATCATGTGAAATGCCAAGAATCCTACAACACTTCTGTTTATCCGGTTCGCTAACATTTGCGCTGAAAAGACATAGAAGATTTAGAATAATTAACTACACAATAGTTTTAACTATAAATAAACAACTTTTTAGTCCTCACAAAATAAAGGTCGTTTGGCAATAATGGAATTGATTTAATCGGATAAATATGTCGAAATTGATTTTGAAGCGACTGAATACGTTGAATTAAGGATAAATAATATTTATCATATATTTTAATAATAAAATAAATAATAAGTTATACTTCTTTTGAATTATGAAAAGTAGCTAAAATGGACTATTCAACGAGACATAACTACAACCTTATTAATTTTGATTATAGCTCATAATCATAGTTGGTAAAAAAAAATATACTACGTATGTGATAAATGATTAATATAGCAAATCAATGAAAAGAAATCAATATTAGCAATTTGCAAACAAATTATTGTTGGCATGAAATACTTGATTGCACTATCTTTTTAATTCGAAGTGTTAAGATAGAGGTTCTTTAAGTTAAGGTCATAATAATATATAATTTCATAAACCCAAATAATTTGTGCTGCTTAAACTCTTTTCCCCAATTTGTCAAGAACTCCCCAGTCCCTCGTTCAAAGATCGTTCAATTCCAGTATCCTGATTTTTGTTTTCCGTTACCCCGGTCCACGAGAAGCTTCTGTTGGTTCCGTCGACGTTTACGTTTCCGGCATTCAGACCATATACCTTCTTTCATCATCTTCGTATCTGCAATCTGCAACCAGTTACTGCGACCGCTGGTAGACCAAACTAGTAAGAATTTCACTTTTTCATCAACTGATGCTTGTATCTTGGCCGTGTTTATTTCAATGTTTGTATTTTAAATACAAATTTCAATGTTTGTCTTTAATAAAACATTAAAACGGTTATTGAGCTGATAGTCTATTTAGGGAGCTAAAGTTCTATTCTTTTTAGCATATAGGGTTTGTCACCGGAGAAACAGCAATGGAAAGCAAGCCACCAGCTGGCGCTGCCGCTTGGACTGGTGCGAAAGGCGGTCACACGGTGGAGGAAGGCGAGGCCATGGTCCAAAAGGGATTGCAAGGTTAAAATGCATTTCGGTATCATTTTCGCTTCCTGTTTCTTTATTTGTAAGCCATCATCTAATGCATTTTGCTAGGATTTAGCGTAACATCATATGTATTAGTGAATGCACTGCAGATTCAAAGGTTAAGTATATGAGGGAGCAATTGGCGAAAGCGGGATGCAGAGTTACTGGTAATTTTTTCAAAGCCGTCCACTGCGATAAGCCTGCCTCCGGCTTTTTTGTTCCCGAGGGTGGAGGGGTAAACTCACTCTCCCTTACCACTTTGTTCCCCATAGCTGTTCATTACTCTTCGCTCTGTTGGGGTCCCGGAAAATACTGGGCAAAGATCATACGGAGTATGAATGAAAACATTGAGGAAAATTGGAAGGGTTGAAATGGTTTTTTTTTGCGGTGATGGGAAAAAATGCTGGCTAAAAATCAACAAATTGATGTCAATCACATTAAGACTGAAAATTTTAATATGTTGATCATATTAAGAATTTAAGACTAGGAAAATCTAAATATATGTGAATAAAAATAATTATATTTAACATTTTTTTGAATTTCAAAGGTAATACCAAAATAAGAAAATAAACTCCCTTTTCAAATTTTGTTTTTGTTTTTGTTTTCATTTTCCTACCGTTTTCTGTGGTCTAGACAAACCCGTAGAGGTTAAACCCAAAGTTTGGTTAGTCATTGCTGGAATGCTGGAAAGGATTTGAATGTAGCTAAGACATGTTACTTGTCATGGTTTTGGATATGGTTTCAGATTAAAATATGTGCAAACAATTTGAGATTTCAAGATGAAGTAACTCAAGTACTTATCCACGAGCTCATCCATGCATATGATCATTGTCGTGCTAAAAATTTGGACTTTAAGAATAAGGAACATCATGCTTGCGCTGAGGTTTGTGCTCTCTGCCATGTTCTGTAATAAAAAAAACAACCATATACTCTGCAAGTGTTTGCTTGTTGAAGTGAACCATGTTATCCAGCTAGCTATCAATTTGTCAATCCTGTTGTTGAAATACTTGTCTCACATTGTGAAAGTATTGTCAAAGCATAAAATATTGAACCAATATAAAATCCAAGATAGTACGGAGTATCATTTAGTATTTCATATGTGGGTCAATGGCCCACACCACATTAGCTTTATTTTTTTAAAGGGAAGCCTATTAAGACAACTTGCTTATATATATATATATAGTCGTGGTTACTCTTCCTATAAGGTTGATCTTTTATGAAGAAACTTCAATTTTTATATGTATCTGAGCAACGGAGCAAGTCCGATTATAGTTTGGCCCATTTATTCATTTGTTCAGCCGAATCTCATGTCTTAATATCCGCACACAAGAAATTACTGATAACCCTTTTTAAATAGACAATGATAAATGCAGTAGTGCATGTATTATTGTTCAACCTGAAAATATTTAAGAAAATGCATATTTTATAAACCATTTATAAAAATGATAACATTGACATTAGGTTTAGGCAATATTTAGTAAGCTGTAATGGAATCAATCTGTTGGAAAACTTTATCTTATCAATCGATTCATTACATTTCATCAAGGCTTAGCAAGAGTTACCTAAAACCATTTATTTCCATAATTCGGAGGCATGGAACATTAAAAATTACATTGTTCCTTTTTTCATATTGAATTTCTTAATCCACAGATTAGAGCCAGCCATCTTAGCGGGGACTGTCATTTCATGAGAGAGTGGTTGCGTGGACACTTCAAGATAAAAGGTCACGAACAAGTAAGTTGTATATAGCCAATGTTATCTCTACTCTCTGATCCACCCCTCTTCTTGAAGTTACCCACTTACCCTATGCATGTACATGGAAATTAAAGTCATGTTGTTTAACAATTATTATTGTTGATGCTATTGCTGTTGTTATTATTACGATTATCATCATTATAATTCTGGTATAGGCATGCGTGAAACGAAGAGTGGTCTATTCAATGTGTGACAATACCAATCAATCGAAGCTTGATGCATGTGCTGCTATGGAAAAAGTGTGGGATACTTGTTACAATGACATGGATCCTTTTGACAAACTTTCTTGAGTCAGAAAATTATCTTCGTCCCTTAAAGACCTTACTATTTCCATCTTTACAGAATTCAAAAAATCAAATTGTGTTTGATTGACATCTAGAAATGCTTTTTTGTCGTGGGTAAATATTATTGTAGGGGGGTAAGGTTTTGACGTTTGGCACATTTAGATACTGAAACTTGAAGGTAATAGAGTAAATTGATAAGATTTTATTTACTAAATAGAGAAAGAGGACTTTACTTAAGGATTTTCCATAGAAAAATACAAAACATTAAAGAGCGAGTTGTGAACCAAGCTCACTTGGGGACTAACTCTGACTGTTTAGAGGACTGCTTATTCAAGAGTTTAGATGATTAGGTTATTTCTTTTAATTTAGAATGTATGGAAGCTTTTTGCTGTTACTAGCCTTATGTTTGCTTCCTATTTAGAGAAATTTGGTTGTTATGGCTTTTAGTTTTTGTTTCCTGGAGATGTGGCTGCATTATGGAGATTGGATGCTGACGTATTAATAGAAGATGGTTTCTTCATCTTTTGGAATTCTTTTTGTTGTGAAATGTATTTATTTCAACGGTATTTTTTTAACGTGAAATAGAATTCATTTTATATTCTGCTTTCGTTTTTTATGAAAACTAAACACATGATCATAGCACATAAAGAATTTGCATAAATAGAAGTAAAAAACGTTTGTGAATTTCAAAATATGACTATGTTTTTATTCCTTAAATAGTAGTGATTAGTGTCATGTTTTAGCTTACTAGACGTTTAGCACATGACAATATTTTTTGAGCTCACAGTAGTTACTTTTATTTAGGGAATACAAATATTGTACTCCTATTTTATAATTCCAAGATATTTTTACTCCTATTTTAGAAATTTTGCCTTCTAAACTGTCACTGAAACAAGTAGGACTTGCGAATACCAACTGATTCTCCTATATTACAACTTGTGTGATATCAACGGTGGGGTTAGTAGAAAAAAAATGAGGCAAGGGTCAGATTGTACTCGAAGTTGCATAAAAAAGGTTAAATAAGTCCTTAGTGTCCGGCCGTCGCCATTTGAGGCGGTTCCCGATAGAATTTTTTGATGAATTTTTTTGAGCATCTTATTCATTAAGTCTAATTTACTCATACCAAATTTCAGCTAAAACTTCAATCGGGAAGACATTCAAATGAATTCTTGAAGATAACTACGCTTTTAACTGCGCAGTTATCTTCAAGAATTCATTTGAATGTCTTCCCGATTGAATTTTTAGCTGAAATTTGGTATGAGTGAACTAGACGTAATGAATAAGATGTTCAAACATTTTCGTCAAAAAATTCAACCGGGAACCGCCCCAAATGAAGATGGCCAGACAGAGCCTCATATATAAGGACTTATTTGACCCTTTTTATGCAACTTCGAGTACCAATCTGACCCTTACCTCGAAAAAAAACTGATCTGGCAAAACTTTCTCAGTAATTTAATAACAGTGTTCACTGGATTGTCCCATCTTAATTTACCCAAAACCCGGAAAGTGTATGGGATTAACCGGGCATGTTTGGGTATTAGTAATAGCCTTCTTGCTTATGCCATCTCAGGAGTCGTATTTGTAATAGTGTTGGACTCGGGCCGGGCCCAGGCGGGCCTTTGAGGGTTGGGATGAAGGCCCGGGTTAGCACCGGGTCCGGGCTGGGTCCGGGCTGGGTCCGGGTCTATGTTATTTGTTTTTTCTAATTAACCCCCGACCCCCCCGACCCCCCACCCCCCAAACCCCTCCAAAACACCCAACCCAACTCGGGGAAAAGCCCCAAAAAATGAAGAAAAAAAATACCCGAACCGGGCCCGGGATCGGCCGGGCCGGGTCACCATTTCCTACACCCGAGCCCGATCCCGCTAAACCCACCGGGCCGGGTCAAAGCCTGGTATTAGAACCGAAGGATTGGGCCGGGCCGGGCCCACACAGTAGCGGACCGGTTCACGGGCTGGGTGACCCAACCCGAGTCCATGACTAATTTGTAATAGCCACTTTATATTGTAAATATATGCAAGGGTCAAGTGGTCAAGGATGTTATCTCAGAATCACAAATAGATTAAGATCCAGTTAGCTGTGAGCTACAAAATTATCATCTTGAAAATGATTATTATGATTTATTTCGTAGTTATTCTTATATTGAGAGCAATGACAATAAATGGGTAAAATGGCCGTATAATCATATATTCATATATACAATTGAAAGATGAATAATTCATTAATTTACATTAGTGCTCAAATTTTATTTCATACGGATTATGATATTATGCTCTGTATTAGGTGAGGTAATAGAGAAAATAAAACCAAACACTTGGTATAATGACCAAACGCAAATGGATTAACCCCATGTCCCCATTAGCGTGCACAAGAAATACAACTTTGAAATAGTTATTATTGAGGAACATACATCATGATATGATGCAATTATTAAGCTGCCATAATATATAAGTAAGCTGTCCTCCCAGACCCAGTCTTGCAATAAACACACCATTGATCCGATAACTATATAATGAAGACCATGGAATTCAAGCGCTGCACTGCAAACCTGGATTATTGTCAAAACTAAAACAAGCAAAAGTCACTACTTGGCTATCATAGATTCATTCAAAATTTCAAATGAACTATTATTATTGGGGAGCTGAAAAAAGTATTCAATTAAGGATTGTTAAGACCACAAACCTGAGACATGTTATCGTTAGTAAGGCACCATGATTGAGCGTAATTGTACCACTTAAAGAGTTGCTCGAGCAATCCCTGTTTTTAAAAAATAGACTTTGATTTTATTTAGGTTTGTGGTATGTGGTTGTGGTTAAGGTCATTGTGGATGCGGAGAGATGCGGTGCAGCCGACAACACGTCTTGCGTTGCGTTAGCACTTTTATTGCAGACCACAACACGTCTTGCAATCTAGACCTTCAAATCCTCGGGGCCCAGGGCCGAGATGAATGGAACACGCCTGGTCACACGCACGAGTGTGATTGTCTGTGTTGACAATTGGTTTTAATTTTTTTTTGTAAAAGGGAAAGTGTCTGTTACCCCAAAAAATGAATTGCCCCTGCATAGACAATTCGCGGGTCACAAGTACTTCCCTTACAAAAATTGAAATCAATTGTGTGTAAATGGACAATTAAACTTGGGTGTGTGACTCGATGTGTACAAGTATGCATTTTTGTAAAATTGAAACATGATGTTTTGGTCCTTGGTGTGGTGGGGGTAACCCTTGCGATTAAGATTTGCTTTGTACGGAATACATAGTAGTGTAACTTATACTTACAGTACTGCGAGTGATTTAAGATTAGCAAGAGTGTCTGGAACAAGACCCGTCAATCTATTGTGGTTCAACCGTCTTCAAATTTCCACACAAAACAAATAAAATAGAATAATTAGGGAAGCCTATATCGTACAACCGGTTGTACGATTCCCACCGTACAGTCGGTGACATTTTGATAATTTAAATGTAATTCACGTCTTCTGCTAAATGAGCATTAATGCACTTTTAGTGAGTATCAAATATACTTTGTTGAGCATTAGAAGTCTAATAATGGGCTTCGTGATCTCTATTTCAACCCCTCTGTCCCTTAAAACTTTGCCATGTTTGAATTTTTAGGTCAAACAAGTTCAACTTTACCGATTATATGTTTTTATAGAAATTATTTATAATATAAAAATGATATGAAAATATTCTTAGTTGAAAGTATTTTTATAAAAGTATAGAATTTATAACTTCTCAAATATTATACTAATCAAAATCATGGTCCAAACTTTATCAGCATTGACTTGAAAAGTCAAAGATGACAAAGTTTTAAGGGACAGAGGTAGTATCTTTTAATTCACACTCTTTTCTTACCTTTTCTTTTATAAAAACTTATTAAATTATATGATTTATATCTATAATCAACTTTTATAACTTCAATATGTAAATCTAAATGTAATATTGTACTTTTGAAATATGCATTGATATGAAAATCATAAGTTTTTTTAGGTTGAGAATCAAGACATTTTCAATGAGCAACAAACATCCTCCATTAGGTATTAGAAAAATGCAATTCATATCATGGTTTGTGCTCGCATATCTATAATCAATTCTCAAGTATCCATAATTTGTTATTAATTTTATTAATAAAACATATTTAAAATATAGCTTTTTTTTAGTTATAAGTATAAGGTGTTTAAGAGTGAATAGTACCGGTAATGAATAATATATGCAAAAAGATGAAAATAAAAGAGAAGGGGGTCAAAAGATAAGATATACCAGAAGAATGAGTGGAAAATTGAAAATAGTTATATATTTGCAGGTGAGAACTGAGAAACTTGCCAAATTGGAAACAGTAGAAATTAAACTAGTAAATATTTTTGAAAAGTAAACATGTTAAGGAAGGAGTACTTTAATACTAAGACTTTTCCTTACATTATGATCAAGTTTTGCAAAATGAAATTGGTTGAATCAATTTAAATTTATGAAATCAATGATGAAATAGATAATTCAATGAATATGGTGAATAATCACATGTTCCGTATTTTTAGGAGAGTCGCCAATTCGTTTGGCGGCTTTCCCTAACTCTAATTTCGTAAAATTCTATTATAGAAGATTATAGAAGATTGATTCATAAACACAGTAAAAATCTAAACGTACAAGAATTTCAGATTTAGTAAATTTCCCCAAGTATCAGGAATGGGACCAGTCAATTGGTTGTCATAGAGATCCAAACTAATCAAATTTGTTAGATTGCCGAGGTCTGATGGAATCAAGCCACTTATATTGTTACTATAGAGCTCCCTGAAAGATTATGAAAATAAACACGAGTATATTAAATAAATAAATTGTGATGTATAAGGTGTCACGCCCCAGACCGCAATCCAAGCGCGTGTACAACCGCCGTATAACTAAGTGACGTCACCCACGGGTCAACCTCACTTAATTACACAAGGCGTTCGAGAAAACAATCCATCCATACTCAGTAGTAAACATACATAACAACATCACATTAAACCAATGAATAGCGGAAATATTCAACGGTAAGTCATGGGCCACAACCGGCCGACAACATGGGCATGCAAGCCCCAAAAATAGTTTGTAGTAAAACAAATATCCATGAGCAAGTGTTCGGTAGTTTGAAAGAAAATAAGGAAGCACGAACCACGTCTCCCTGATTTGATATCACCCGTGAGAAGGTGCAAGTAGCAAGCTCTAGCTTCAACCTGAAAATGGTGGGGCCCCCCGAAGGGGTCAGTACAAGTACCGAGCGAGTAGCAGGCTAAATATAGAATAACTAGCGTTTCAAGTATAAGACCCAAACATAGGATGATACATATACGTATAGTCCTTCCCCCAAGTTTGAAATACATATTAGTATACATACACTTGGAAATACCCGACCCGTAGGTCATTGTTTATTTGGGAAAATAATAGTAGTCAATATCCTTGACTTAAATCCCAACCCACCCATATACCTATGAGTGTATAGAACTCCTCCTTGGTCAAATAAATTATCATAAGGACACCGCCCGGTCCTAGATCATTAAATGTAATCTATGAGTTTTGAGGATACACGCCCGATCCTTGGGTACTCCACCCTATAATTGAGTTTTGAGGATAACCGCCCGATCCTTGGGTACTCCACCCTATATAACCGAGTTTTGAGGATAACCGCCCGATCCTTGGGTACTCCACCCTATATAACCGAGTTTTGAGGATAACCGCCCGATCCTTGGGTACTCCACCCTATATAACCGAGTTTTGAGGATAACCGCCCGATCCTTGGGTACTCCACCCTATATAACCGAGTTTTGAGGATAACCGCCCGATCCTTGGGTACTCCACCCGACCTATGACTTACCACATATCACGCTAGATAGGGTCTATATCATATTTAGTCATTCATAACTAATTCAATACATAAAACTTATGTATCACATTCCATGCAAAGCCATGCAATTATGTAAATGTACAATTAATTAATATCGACCGGTATTAATTAATCCATTATCCACCGGTCAACGTGGTCGTTGACCGCCATTACAAACCTTGTACAAATCAACTTAATCATCACATAATTAAGTTAAAATATTCATTTGTGCTTCTAATACACTTCAAGCAAATATGCATTCTATATAATTCTTCATATCATATTCTATGCATAAACAATCTATTTCTTTCATACAAACTTAACCCTATTGGCTAATCACATGTTTAAATATCTTTTAAACATCATTATGAATTCATATAACATTTATTTAGGTAATCTTATAATTAACCCAAAAGTTATAAGATATTAAGCCGTCCACTCACCTTGAACTAGCGTTAAGAAGTTCTACCCTTCTTGGTTGAACTCCGGTGAAACTCCGGTGACTTTTGGTCAACTCCGGCGACAACTCCGGCGACTTTTCCAACTTTGTGAAATCACTTGAAATACCTTTCACAAGTTCCTAACAAGGTTTTAACATCATAAAACCTTAATCAATACAAATAACCTATAAAAGGTTATTTTCCGGTGAACCGGTCGTTTTTGGCTTCTAAGTCCGTTCTTGGACGTAGAGCCACCTTTCAACCCATGAATCCATACTTGTGACATATGGAACCATACTAAAGGTTGTCTACATGATATATACCTCATATGGTAAAAGAAGAATGAAGGAGAAGTTATAACAAGGTCATTACCTTAATTATTCACACTTTTCCTAACTTTTTCCTTCTCAAACCTCCTTCCTTGGACCAATTTCTCTTGAGCTCGTGCTGCAACAATGGAGGTGGTTTTGAGAGCTTTTCCTCTTCTTTTCTTGAGGTCTTGGTCGAGCTTGGTGATAGGGGTGAGAGGGAGTGGTTTATTTTGTCTCAAATGACAAAATGTGTGATGGGTGAGGGGTCATCCTTGTACTTTGATGCCAAAGCCTCCTCCTCCACACCTTCCTTTATCATATCCAGCTCCCCTTTGTCTAATTGAGCACAAAAAAACGTGGGGTGGCCCCCACTCATGTGGGAGGTCATCCCTTTGTGTCTCGATGTGTACAATCGGTCCCGAAAATTGTATTTTTCGGACTGTTTTAAATATATTTTATTTTATCGGGTCCAATAAAATATATTATGTGTTCTCAATCGTAATGGCCCTTTGAAATAATATGTATTCCAAAACATTAATTTAGAAGTCTCCGAAATTCATTTTCGGGCTGTTATCCGTTAAATTGTCGGTACCCGGCATTTGGGCTTCTTTTGCCCAATCGGCCAACACAGGGCCTTTCCACGACCCAAGTAAAATATCCACCACCATATAAATATTATCTTGACCAAGATGAATAAAATATGTGGTCTCGGGAATGTTGGGTGGTCCCCGCTCCCGATGTGGGCCCCACGTGCAATTTACTATTCACGCGAAAGAAAATAACAAAAATTTACAACTTCGTAAATTCATTAATCCTTTAATAAGGTTCAATACATTATTTACATAGAAGTAAATATATTTGGGGACGGTGTTACAAGTTCACCCCCCCTTAATTGGGATTTCGTCCCCGAAATCCAAGTATCTTAATCGAAGAGAAATGGGTATTGCTCCCTCATTGAGACCTCGGTCTCCCAAGTTTCTTCTTCGACTCGATCACTCCTCCAAAGAACCTTTACCATAGGAATTTCCTTATTCCTCAGCTTCTTCACTTGTTGGCCAACAATCTTCATTGGTTCCACCGCATATTGCAAGTCCTCACGGATCTCTACCGGTGGTTTCTCAAGAATATGAGATGGGTCTCGTATGTACTTCTTGAGCATCGATACATGAAACACGTCATGTATCTTCTCAAGTTCCGGTGTCAACTTGAGACGGTAAGCCACGGCCCCTATCCTTTCAAGGATTTCAAATGGGCCGATGTATCGGGGGTTAAGCTTTCCCCTCGATACAAATCGAATGATGCCCTTCCAAGGAGAAATTCTTAGGAAGACCTCATCACCGACTTCGAACTCCAACGGTCTCCGCCGTTTATCAGCATAACTCTTCTGCCGGTCCTGAGCAGCTTTTAGTCTATCCCGAATGATCCTTACCTTGGCCTTGGTGATCTCAACCAGCTCTATCCCTTCGAGTTTGGCCTCGCCAACCTCGTCCCAACACAACGGTGTTCTGCACTTCCTCCCATACAATGCCTCATATGGGGGCATGCCGATACTTGCCTGATAACTGTTGTTATAGGCAAACTCTACTAGGGCCAAATGCTTGTCCCAACTTCCTTGGAACTCCAAAGCACATGCCCTAAGCATGTCTTCCAAAATCTGTATCACCCGCTCGGACTGTCCATCCGTCTGTGGGTGAAAAGCTGTGCTAAACTTCAGTTTAGTCCCCAAAGATGCTTGAAACTTCGGCCAAAATCGAGATGTGAATCGTGGGTCCCTATCCGAGACAATGGATATCGGGACTCCATGTAATCTCACAATCTCCTCCGTGTAGAGCTTGGCCAGTCTTTCAAGAGGATAAGTAATGTTGATAGGCAAAAAGTGTGCACTCTTGGTGAGTCTATCAACCACTACCCAAACTGCATCATAGTTGTTCACTGTTCGTGGTAGCCCCACCACGAAGTCCATGGTCACGTGCTCCCACTTCCACTCTGGGATGGTGAGTGGCTGCAAAAGCCCTGCCGGGTGCTGATGTTCTGCCTTAACTTGCTGGCAAGTAAGGCATCGACTCACATACTCGGCGATGTCTCTCTTCATACCCGACCACCAGTAACTTTCCTTCAGGTCCCGGTACATCTTAGTACCTCCTGGATGCATAGCATAGGCTGAAGAATGAGCCTCCTCGAGTATAGACTTCTGGAGGTCTTCATTCTTTGGTATGCACACACGATCCTTAAACAATAATAGACCATCGTCACGTACCCGAAAGTTCTCAACAGGCCCCTCAATGATTCGTTCACGAATCTTCTGACACTCCTCGTCAATGGCCTGACATCTACTGATCTCACCCAGCAATGTAGGTCTGACCTCAAACCTAGCAATGAGCGCCCCGCTCGTGGATACCTCCACGTGTGCCCTCAATGCCTGTAGACATGTGAGTAGCGTCCCCGACGTACTCTTCCTGCTCAGTGCGTCGGCCACTACATTGGCCTTTCCGGGATGATAGTCGATGATCAAGTCATAGTCCTTGATCAACTCCATCCATCTCCTCTGCCTCATATTCAACTCTTTCTGAGTGAATACATACTTCAGGCTCTTATGATCAGTATAAATGTGACACGTCTCCCCGTAGAGATAATGCCTCCAAATCTTCAATGCAAACACTACCGCCCCCAACTCTAGATCGTGAGTAGGGTAGTTCACCTCGTGTTTCCTCAATTGCCTAGAAGCATAGGCAATCACCTTACCGTTTTGCATCAGTACACACCCAAGCCCTTGGATGCTAGCGTCGCTATAAATGTCATACCCTATCCCCTGTATGGGTAGGGCAAGGACTGGTGCTTCGGTAAGTCGTTTCTTCAATTCAAGGAACCCCTTCTCACATTTGTCGTCCCATATGAACTTGGCCCCTTTCTTTGTGAGCTTCGTTAATGGGGACGCCAATACGGAGAATTTTTCCACAAATTTACGATAGTATCCTGCTAAGCCAAGGAAACTACGTATCTCTTTCACATTCTTGGGTCTCTCCCAATCCATGATAGCCTTTATCTTGGCGTTATCCACAGCAACGCCCGAACCGGATATGACGTGACCAAGGAACCCAATCTCCTTAAGCCAAAATTCGCATTTAGAGAACTTGGCAAAGAGCTGCTTTTCCCTTAGCCGGTCAAGTATAAGCCTCAAATGATGTTCGTGCTCCTCCTCGCTCTTGGAATATATCAAGATATCATCAATGAATACTATCACAAATTGATCTAAGTATTCACTAAACACACGGTTCATCAAGTCCATGAATGCTGCCGGTGCGTTGGTTAAACCAAATGACATCACAAGGAACTCGTAATGACCATACCTAGTGCGGAATGCACTCTTAGGTATGTCGCTCTCCTTGATCTTCAACTGATGATACCCCGACCTCAAATCAATCTTTGAGAACACTATTGCCCCCCGAAGTTGATCAAACAAGTCATCAATCCTCGGTAAGGGATACCTGTTCTTGATTGTGACCTTGTTCAACTGTCGGTAGTCAATACACATTCTTAGTGTACCATCCTTCTTCTTCACGAAGAGTACGGGTGCCCCCCACGGTGAATGACTGGGTCTGATGAACCCGTTGTCCAGTAATTCTTGTAGTTGGACCTTCAACTCTTGGAGTTCGGCCGGTGCCATTCGATAAGGGGGAATCGAAATGGGTTTGGTTCCCGGCTCCACTTCGATTACAAACTCTATCTCTCTATCGGGTGGGAGCCCCGGTAGGTCTTTGGGAAAGACATCCGGGTACCTGCACACGACCCGTACATCTTTGATGTCGACTTCCTTCTTGGTATCGTCCACCACGTAGGCAAGGTACGCGTGGCATCCCTTCCTCATCATCTTCCGTGCTCTCATCACGGATATGATACAAGCACTAGATTTCCCCCGATCTCCCTTGAAACATAGCGTGTTTCCTTGATCATCCTCGAGCTCTAACACCTTGGTGTAGCAATCTACTCGAGCATGGTGTTTCTCGAGCCAATCCATTCCTAGGATTGCATCGAACTCCAACATGCTTAGAGGTACGAAATCACAAGTCAAAGGTTGACCCGTCACTTCTACCTCGCATGACGGATAGTAATGATTTCTCTCCACGTCGTCTCCTAACGGTGTGGAGACTAGCAATGTTTGCGTCATAGGTGTCAATGGCACGTCAAGGCCCTCGGCGAACGCCTCACTCACAAATGAGCGTTGTGCCCCGGTATCGATGAGGATCCTCGCACACCTACCATTGATCTTTAATGTTCCTACATTTATACACCATGTAAGATACATTTTCTAATGTTTTTACACATTTTTAGGATGTTATTTGGTTCATACTAATGTTTGGAATCAAACGGGGGTCCAAACGTAGAAGAACGGGGCGAAAAAATCAATTTTCGGGTGCCTGGGGTCCACGCACGGCGTGCCTGGGTGGCACGCACGGTCGTGCGTGCGTGAGAAAATCGGAGATCCACCACTGCAGGCTACGCACGATCGTGCGTAGCTGGTCACGCACGATCGTGCGTCCCACGCACGGCGTGCCTGACCTGCACGCACGGCGTGCGTCTGCGCGGAATAAGGCCAGAGGCTACTGCCTCGCACGCACGGTCGTGCGTCTGTGGGTACGCGCGATCGCGCGTAGTTGTTTTTAGCCCGTTTCGCCCCGAATTCGCGGGGTTTGACCCCGGGGTGGCCCGCACCCAAACCCAATGACTTATATGACCCAAATAAGCCTAGAAATACAGGAAAATAAATGTATTACCTGCAACGGAGTCCGGGTTTGCTCGCGCATCCGCCTCGGTCATCGCGTAGACTCGTGCTTGGGTCCCACCTTGGTTGACAGATGCGGCATGGCTTGTGGATGCACCGCCTCTTCCAGTACCGCCGTTTGACGGTCCCGCACGGTTTCTTCCCGTCATGGTCCCTCCCCCGGCTCCCGAGGCACTCTCTTGCATCAATTGAGGGCAATTGGCCTTCATATGGCCCGCATTCCCGCACTTAAAACACCTCGGTGGTTCATTACACTTCCCAAAGTGTTGTTTTGAGCAATTGGGACATCTAGGTGGCCCCGAGTTCTGTGGCCTAGGTCCGTGCCACCTCGCATCCCTATTCTTCTTTGCCGGTGGAGCCGGCGTCTTGAATGAACCACCGCCACCACCACCACCCCCGTGGTTGTTCCTTCGAGAATGATCGGGTGGCCCCGAATTATTCCACTTCCTCTTCTTCGCCTCTTCGGCGTCCCTTGCTTTCCTCTCATTCCACTGGGCCTCTCCAAGAAGACCCTGTTCCACCACCTCGCTAAATGACATGTGGCGAGAGTACGTAGCTCGGTCACGGATATCCAAGAGTAATGCATCCCAGAAGTGCTCCGTCATGCGGTTCTCATCAACCGCGTACTCTGGCAAGAACCTCGCCAAGGTTCTAAACTCTTGTTCCAGCTGCTTAACCGTGCCGCCATCTTTCTGTTTGAGGTTAGTGTACTCTCTCCGTTTCACATTCACCTCGTACTCGGAGTAGTATTGAGCATAGAACTCTAGCTCAAAGTCCGCCCATGTTATTTCCCCATGGTACTTCCCTTCCACGCTCTCCCACCACGTAGAGGCTATCCCTTCTAGTAGCCGTGAAGCGACAGTCAACTTCACGTCCGGTGTGATTTGCATGTCTCTTGACGCATCCTTCACCTTCTTAATCCAATCGGCGGCAACGGTAATGTCACCGGTGCCGTCAAAGGACCTACACCCCAAGGCCCTAGCCTCCTTGAGGTACTTGGAGATTCTCACGACAAAACCTCCTTCACGCCCACCTTGTGACGCCGCTGGGGTGGCCACGGAAGCTCCCCGGCTTCCTTGACCCGAACCACCACGAGAGCCACGCCTCGCTTGGCGCCTAAGGTCTCTCCTCAGTTTCTCCTTTTGATACCACTCAAGTAATTCACCCATCTGGGCGAATCGGGCATCACTCTCATCGTCATCATCGGTGTATGTGTCCCCCCCATCATACGGGGTCTCCTCATGCTCCGTTTCTGGAACGTAGGTTGAGTCATAGTCCTCGGTGTTGGTTTCATACACCGAGCTTACATGGCCATCACTCACAGATTGAGCTTGATGACCTCCACGGCTTCCACGGCCTCCTCTCGAACCCCGAGATGCAGCCCGGCTTCCCCTTTGGGATACTACCGGCGCCTGCCCCCTCGGATTGTTCCTGGTCCTCATTCGCCTGCCCTCTATTTCTGAAAGAAATATGGATGAGCCATTAGACTCCTATAAATGTCAACTGACGGAAGAACGTTACAGACACGTATTGGCCCAAGTCACTACCATACCAATTGTTAAGGGTACCGTCTTAACAATTAGAGGCCTTGCAACTTAAGCACCAATAGTCCTATAAACGTCAAAATACAATGCTCATGGTTTTCGGTAAAAACTCTTTTGCAAAATCTTTTGTGAGAGGTTGATTATATAGTTTAGAACTGAGATGGCTCTGATACCACCTGTAACACCCCGGCCCCGTGGGACCCGAGGTAGTTACTCCGGACCAATAGTACTGTCCTCACAAACCACCACAAGCCTTTACCGCGCACTTTGTCCTCACTCATGCGCGCATTGAGAAACTTCCAAGGGGGTCACCCATCCCAAGACTGCTCCCGTGCAAGCACGCTTAACTTTGGAGTTCTTGGCGGATGAGCTCCCGTAAAAGGAGATGCACCTCTGTTGGTATGAGTAGTACTATTAATCCATTTATATTAAATCTCAAGTGTTACAATCACCCCCACTTAGGATCGCAACGTCCTCGTTGCGCCCTTAAACTAATCTCAATCAAACTCCAGAATCTTTTCCCCTGCTAAGGGCCTGCCCGATATCCAACGGATCAGCACACTGTCGCAGGGTTGCTTTGATACCACTTAATTGTCACGCCCCAGACCGCAATCCAAGCGCGTGTACAACCGCCGTATAACTAAGTGACGTCACCCACGGGTCAACCTCACTTAATTACACAAGGCGTTCGAGAAAACAATCCATCCATACTCAGTAGTAAACATACATAACAACATCACATTAAACCAATGAATAGCGGAAATATTCAACGGTAAGTCATGGGCCACAACCGGCCGACAACATGGGCATGCAAGCCCCAAAAATAGTTTGTAGTAAAACAAATATCCATGAGCAAGTGTTCGGTAGTTTGAAAGAAAATAAGGAAGCACGAACCACGTCTCCCTGATTTGATATCACCCGTGAGAAGGTGCAAGTAGCAAGCTCTAGCTTCAACCTGAAAATGGTGGGGCCCCCCGAAGGGGTCAGTACAAGTACCGAGCGAGTAGCAGGCTAAATATAGAATAACTAGCGTTTCAAGTATAAGACCCAAACATAGGATGATACATATACGTATAGTCCTTCCCCCAAGTTTGAAATACATATTAGTATACATACACTTGGAAATACCCGACCCGTAGGTCATTGTTTATTTGGGAAAATAATAGTAGTCAATATCCTTGACTTAAATCCCAACCCACCCATATACCTATGAGTGTATAGAACTCCTCCTTGGTCAAATAAATTATCATAAGGACACCGCCCGGTCCTAGATCATTAAATGTAATCTATGAGTTTTGAGGATACACGCCCGATCCTTGGGTACTCCACCCTATAATTGAGTTTTGAGGATAACCGCCCGATCCTTGGGTACTCCACCCTATATAACCGAGTTTTGAGGATAACCGCCCGATCCTTGGGTACTCCACCCTATATAACCGAGTTTTGAGGATAACCGCCCGATCCTTGGGTACTCCACCCTATATAACCGAGTTTTGAGGATAACCGCCCGATCCTTGGGTACTCCACCCTATATAACCGAGTTTTGAGGATAACCGCCCGATCCTTGGGTACTCCACCCGACCTATGACTTACCACATATCACGCTAGATAGGGTCTATATCATATTTAGTCATTCATAACTAATTCAATACATAAAACTTATGTATCACATTCCATGCAAAGCCATGCAATTATGTAAATGTACAATTAATTAATATCGACCGGTATTAATTAATCCATTATCCACCGGTCAACGTGGTCGTTGACCGCCATTACAAACCTTGTACAAATCAACTTAATCATCACATAATTAAGTTAAAATATTCATTTGTGCTTCTAATACACTTCAAGCAAATATGCATTCTATATAATTCTTCATATCATATTCTATGCATAAACAATCTATTTCTTTCATACAAACTTAACCCTATTGGCTAATCACATGTTTAAATATCTTTTAAACATCATTATGAATTCATATAACATTTATTTAGGTAATCTTATAATTAACCCAAAAGTTATAAGATATTAAGCCGTCCACTCACCTTGAACTAGCGTTAAGAAGTTCTACCCTTCTTGGTTGAACTCCGGTGAAACTCCGGTGACTTTTGGTCAACTCCGGCGACAACTCCGGCGACTTTTCCAACTTTGTGAAATCACTTGAAATACCTTTCACAAGTTCCTAACAAGGTTTTAACATCATAAAACCTTAATCAATACAAATAACCTATAAAAGGTTATTTTCCGGTGAACCGGTCGTTTTTGGCTTCTAAGTCCGTTCTTGGACGTAGAGCCACCTTTCAACCCATGAATCCATACTTGTGACATATGGAACCATACTAAAGGTTGTCTACATGATATATACCTCATATGGTAAAAGAAGAATGAAGGAGAAGTTATAACAAGGTCATTACCTTAATTATTCACACTTTTCCTAACTTTTTCCTTCTCAAACCTCCTTCCTTGGACCAATTTCTCTTGAGCTCGTGCTGCAACAATGGAGGTGGTTTTGAGAGCTTTTCCTCTTCTTTTCTTGAGGTCTTGGTCGAGCTTGGTGATAGGGGTGAGAGGGAGTGGTTTATTTTGTCTCAAATGACAAAATGTGTGATGGGTGAGGGGTCATCCTTGTACTTTGATGCCAAAGCCTCCTCCTCCACACCTTCCTTTATCATATCCAGCTCCCCTTTGTCTAATTGAGCACAAAAAAACGTGGGGTGGCCCCCACTCATGTGGGAGGTCATCCCTTTGTGTCCCGATGTGTACAATCGGTCCCGAAAATTGTATTTTTCGGACTGTTTTAAATATATTTTATTTTATCGGGTCCAATAAAATATATTATGTGTTCTCAATCGTAATGGCCCTTTGAAATAATATGTATTCCAAAACATTAATTTAGAAGTCTCCGAAATTCATTTTCGGGCTGTTATCCGTTAAATTGTCGGTACCGGCATTTGGGCTTCTTTTGCCCAATCGGCCAACACAGGGCCTTTCCACGACCCAAGTAAAATATCCACCACCATATAAATATTATCTTGACCAAGATGAATAAAATATGTGGTCTCGGGAATGTTGGGTGGTCCCCGCTCCCGATGTGGGCCCCACGTGCAATTTACTATTCACGCGAAAGAAAATAACAAAAATTTACAACTTCGTAAATTCATTAATCCTTTAATAAGGTTCAATACATTATTTACATAGAAGTAAATATATTTGGGGACGGTGTTACATAAGGAGATGTATGAGATGTATACTACTATCTTTACACGTGCCATACATTGGATAGAAGGATTTTTTAGTTATACTGTATATGAAACAGTCAAACCTAAATGCAAGGTTTTCCGGCCTTTTCTGTTTTAGACTTTTAGTTGTTTGAGATTAAAAGGCCAAATCACGGTCAAAACAACAAAAAATGTTGATAAGCTACCAACAAAGCACCCCCTGAATTTGGAAGATAGTAGAACTTGTGACTTCCCCTTTGGGAGGACAACAATGATATTATTGAATATTGAACCAAACAAAAAATACTTACCGACTTGAGGAAAGGATAAAAATACGAGAGTTTTGAAACTTTGGGGCGAAAACACGGGATTCTGTTTTATAGGACAACAATACGGGGATCATAAGCTTTTCGAATAAAATTGGGCTAGAAAAAAAAAATTAAATGACAAACAATCATTCAGAAGCCTCATTTCCGATTGAAGGGGTATGGGTAATTGGGTAGGGAGGTAGAAACCCGGAAGCACGTTTTTAGAAACCCTGGAAAAACTCCCGTTACATTGCCCTCTCCATGTTGACTTCTCCCGTAAAATAAGAAAATAACCTGCCGGCATTAATTATGTATTGAGTTATTTACTACTCTGCACAATATATACTACCACCATTCTTTTCTAATTTTACCTAGTTTGACTTTGACGTTGTCAACACACAACTTTATATTTAATTACGTATTAGTAAACTTTATAAAAAGTTAAAATTTTAAAAGTCCATGTTAATAAGAATCTAATAATATTTTATACATAATAATTTGATTACATATATTAGTAGAAAGTCGTATTCAAAGTAAGGGGTATAAATAGTGCAAAAATCACATTGTTGAAACTATTAATATAATTTTATTTTTATTGTAATTTAATGCAACTATTAATCTACATATAATTTAACTTTTTTGTTTCTCTTCATCATGAAGAATAATACACCACCTTGAAAGGATAGCCAACCGCCTCTAGCAATTGTTAATTTTTTTTACCAATGACTAATTAAGGTCAAGGAATTATATTTACATGAATTTCTCAGATCGATATGTCCAAGCTAGGAAATATGGAAACAGAATCATCTTTAATTAATTATTTGTCCAGCATTCAATTCAATTTAAATAAATATATACGCGAAATTTAATTTGAACCTAGCTAGCTAGCTTGTAGCTTGTTAATAATTAGAAGATGATCTGAATTAAAACAATTTAACTTACAAGTACTGCAAACTTGAAAGATCTCCTAGACCGGATGGAATTAGTTCACCCGAGAGGCCGGCATTACCAAGATCACTGAAAGTAATAATGGTTTGTAAATTGTAATTACACATGAGTGTGCAGTCACAAACACGACAATAATGAGGAAAACTAATATTGAAAAACATTACTCGTATACAGGGACGGATCCAGGATTTCGAGTCAAGGGGGGCGAAATTTTTTCATTAGTGTAGGGAGTGAAAAAATTTCGCTAGTAAGCGGAACGGGAAAAAATCGCTAGTGTAGCGGGGCGAATTTTTTCGCTAGTGTAGGGCTCTGTGGCTAATTTTTATTTAAAAAGTTCCATTAGTACATACTACATACACGATGACAATTAAATCTATTATATTCTAATTCTAACTATAGACAATGAAAATATAACTTTGATTTAATAACTATAAGTGCTCGAGAAAAAAATATTGATACATTAAAGCTTAAGAAATGACAAATTAAAGGGAAATTATTTGAAAATAAGAAAGGATATGATATACGTAGTATAACATTTTATGATATTATTTGAAGGTAAAGTGGTTAAAGTTAAAGGTACACATCAACCAATATTTCTTAAGTAACTTATGCCTTGTTTAATCACATGATTCTTAACAGGATAAAGAATTGATTTTTGAATTGAGATTTTTGTCTATCAAGAAGGATATTTGTGGGTCATGATGAGTTTTCTTAATATTACAATAGTATGCATGAGATTACCAGGGCCGGCCCTGGCACTGTGCAAGCAGTGCGACCGCACAGGGCCCAAATTGACGGAGGGCCCAATTTTTTAAAACTTAGCCTAATATTCATACTACTGGTCCGAATCCAAAAAAATCCCACAGTCGAGAATCGAACGCGCATCAGCTAGAAGTATCATTTACCGACTTACCACTCCACCAAGTGACGCATTTGTAAAACGTCGGTCATTACTTTTACAAATACTTTAGTCAAATACTCAAATCGATCAATTAAAACATTTACTTCTAATTTATTACAACTAAGCACATACGTAGTAATAAATTTAACTATAAGTATTGTTGTTATTGCTTTAATATACTACATTACTTCGTATACACTTAATTTTTAAGTTACGTTCTTGATTTTCTTATAGTTAATTATATCAATTTTTAATACTTTGGATTTCTTTTGTTATGATATTGTTTGTTAGGAATCAAAATAAGTTTTTCATTACATTTTATATTTACTTTTTCTGTTCTTAAGTTTATTATTTTTCACTACATGTGTTATATATAGTACTTCTTCAATTTCAAATTGATTTATAAAATTGACTTTTTTGAATCAAACAAATTGATGGTATTCACTTAATTGAGATATCAATCTTTAATTAAATTTTATCTTGAATTTTGAAACTTTTTATAGATTATAATTTACTATTTGAATATGTAAATTTTAATTGTTAAAATTAAATTAATTATCAATATTGACAATTTATTTTTAACACTGACGCAGGGTAATATACTTTTTTTTATACGATTCAGGGCCTTTTATTTAATACTGAACAGGGCCTTAAATATCTCAGGACCGGCCCTGGAGATTACTATACTTAGAATAATATGATACATAGTAATGTTAATTCATATATATCTGGTGCATATTATATTTGCATTAATTCTAAAATAAGTTAAAGTTTTATCTATTCAACAAATTGTTTTTAGAAAGTAAGAGGTAAATGAAATGTGTAATTTAATGTCAACAAACATTTATACGATTTAACTACTGTATCTGATATTCAATATGTTTTGATATCTTACAAAATCGAGTACTAATTATCTAATAAAAATAATTAAACATTACAAAACTAAGAATTTTTTGGTACCCTAAGTCTTAAACAACGAGTTCTATTGTTTATTTTTTTAAGTTATGTAAATTATTTTATTCTACTTCTTTTAAATCTCCAATTAAGCATTGCATTATGTGAGCCTATATATTAATTTTGAAAACTTAAAGTTAAGGGGGGCGAAAACATATATACCTAATTAAAGTATGAAAATTTTATGAAAATATTATATATATAGTAGAAAAATTTGGAAGTCCAAGGGGGGGCGGTCGCCCCCCCGCGCCCCCCCTTGGATCCGTCCCTGCTCGTATATATTTTTCGAAAACTTACATTCTTGTAACTTGAGAATCGCTGTTGCAAGTAATATGGAACCAAGTGCAGGGAGTGGTGAGGGTTGGATCCCAGCTACTTAGAACATTTTTCTGATCATGAAGCGCCCTCCTTAGTGCATCCAAACTATCACCTGTACACCGGGGCGGACCTATGTTATATGCAGGGTCAGCACAGGCTACACCTCAAAAATGTCCATTTGCCTTAGTGGTAGATTCATGTGCTTTAAAATTGTTGTAGGCTCTAGGTCACAAGTTCGAATCTCCCTTGTGCATCACATAATTTTATTTTGCTTCATTTCATTTTAGCTCATCCGTGCTTGGCTGCTTCTTCAGCTACTTTTTTACAGTAGTTTTTTAAATAATCGAGTCGTATCATTAGCATGAAACATCAGTATTTTTAGCAAATCTGTATATGTTTTCTCCATTTTATTTAGTTTTCTTCTATATTGAACTGAATCATCTGTGTTTATTTAAAATTTCATTTTTACTACGTACTTTTGACCCAAAACTTAGAGATATTTTATTTATACATCTTGATAAATTGGTTTTATTAGACAAAAAATATTTATAAATTACATACACGGAGTGTGTAATATATGATTACAACTTATTATCCATTTTTTTTTCCTCTTTTCGAGATGGTATGTTGATTTTTATCATGTCCATATTTATAATGAAATTTGATTTATAATTTTATTGTACATATTAATATACACTTTTTGAGATGTCATGTCATTTTTGTTAATTCTCTCACCTCTGCACAAATTTCAATAACACAATTTTTACCGTTTTATTTTACGCCAATTACGTGTCACCCAACTTTCGCCTAGTTATAAGGAATGGAGGGAGAATCATGTGTATTACTATTATATACTTCGCATATGTGCATACCCTGGGCTCCGATGCCTAGGTCCGCCACTGCTGTACATACGTGCTTGGAATGATTAGTTCGATCATACAAGTATATACTACTCCTAATCGTTATTAGGAAATTAAAGTTCCTGCATAAAAACGTTTTTCTAATTTCAAGATAATAGTAACAGTTATATTTTTATTCCCAAAAAACGAATAATTACTCATATTTAAGAGATAAAACATACTGATCCTATTTGGAATTCATAGACATTTTAAATCTTATTTACAACAATTACTAAATTGAAGTTGGAAGTTGAACATACGTACCCTCGTGGTTACCAAAGACAAAGGGCAATTGAAGAAACAACGACAAAAGAACCCATTCATTTTTAAGCATCCTTCTTGCCGTTTGTTTTTGTTTCCTTTACTTTTGTCCTCCAGATATACAGAATATGATGTTTCATTTGTAAGGGGTCAATGGGTATATATAGGCAGCACCGATCCTAAGGAAACAAGTCAACAACGATGCAACAACAAAACTAATTAAGCCTTTTTATAACACATTTTAAATAATAAAAAACTAACAACCAAATAATATCAATTTGTTTTACTAAATTAAAAAATTAAAAACTAAAAACTTAATAAATTGATTTGAAGTTTTATAATTTGTATTTTACTATATCTCTCTAGTGCGGTGTTATCGGGTAATAAAAAACTCATAAGCGTTTTTGGATGCATTGAATTGTGTATTTGCAAGTTCATTCAATTCCAGATAACAATTAGAAAATTAAATATTCAGTAGCTAGCTAATAGTTCAAATTAAGACTATTTTTACACTTTTCTCTTTAAAATATTTTTAATTTTTAAAACTTTCAATTTCAGTTTAAAATACTACTACGTATTATAAAAGTTGCATATTTTCCGGGTAAAATTTACATAAATAATTTGATAGATTTCGGGTTCGTTTTTTGTTTTCTTTTCTTTAAACCTTATTATTACAATATTACGAGTATATCGTTAGTGAAGACATGCTAACATAATAGTGTTACCGTATTCGGTGAAACTTTTGATGAAACAGCATACTTTTGTATACTTGTCACTGACTTGCAGAAATACAATAATAAATTTTTTAGACAAGTGGTATTATAGTTATCTGACTTGTTCTTATTTCACTTGATTTGAATTGATCCGGATTGTTATGTGTATGCTCTATTAATAATTGGAATAATGAACAAGAATAATTCCAACTATTAGTGATCTATTTGAAATAATTCAAAGTATCAATAATCTCAAAATAATCCTAACTATTGAAAAATCTTCTCAAAATACTCCGGTGACTTATAATTACCCATAAATAACTTATAATATGAGTATGTGGAGTGTTTTCGGATGATTTTTCAATAGTTGGGATTATCTTGAGATAATTGATACTTTGAATTATTTCAAGCAGATCACTAATAGTTCGGATTATTCTTGTCCATTTTTCTTAATAATTTATGTATGATCTTATATGAATTGTGATTTTTTAATTTATTTAAGTTTATTTGGTTTGATTTAATTTATTTTTGTTTGATATAATCTGATTTGACATACTAATATTTGATTTGATGGGTACATGTAGGGGAGAGTTGTAATGAGAACTCGTCTTAAAATAAGAACTCATTATAATAAGAATTTTTAATTGTAATCTTTCATTTTATTCAATCATTTGGTAAGATGCATGAGATCTTTTGTGAAATTATTGAAAATTCAATCGTTGCCATTTTTGTAACGTTTTTGTAATCATCTGATGCTTTTGTTTCATTTATTGTTATTAAAATTGCCAAATTTTACTGTAAAAATGTCATCAAGATGACATTATTAATCTTGGAAAATGTCATACTTCGTATTGTTTAATATTAAAATATGCTAAAAATAGAATTGGCACAAAAAGTACTAATTACCCTATTTTGGGAGAATTTAAAACTTATAAACCTATTCTTAAAATTTAATGTTTATTTATTTCTATTTAGGAAATACCCCTGAAACAATGCAAGTAAAAGAAGATAGTCAACCTTTTCGCAATCACTAATCATTTTAATTTTGATATGCTCTTCTAACATCTATAATAAGAACTATTATTACTCTATAAAGTGAAATGTTGAACATTGAACGATGCGTACATCAGTGCTTACCTCTTGAAATCTAAAACATAATTTATAGTTGCTTTTTAAATTTTAATTGGTCCCTATTATATTAAATTGACGTGTCAAAATATATCAATGTACATGGACTCTAACTACAAATATATTCTCAAATAATGACTTTTTCATTAATAATAAAATGAAATCGCCCATATAAAAAAAAAGTCATTTGAAAACATATTTCTAGTTGGAGTCCATGTAAATTGAATTTGACATGTAAATTTTTTATGTTAAGAACCAAAAAGCAAATTTAAATTAATATTTAGATTTCAAGAGGTAAGCAATGACGTATGCATGCTTGACTGTAAGCATGTCTTCACATTGACAAAGGCTGGTACAAGTGAGATACTTTTGACTAAAATATATTTCCTTTTTCATTTTCTCAATGTGTCTAACATTGCGCTGCAGGCTACAATCAAGTTAGGTAGTTGCACTTGATAGGCATACCTCACAAAAAGAGAATTCCGAAACCAGGGTAGTTTCTAACACAAGAAGCCCGTTGTAATTAGGGTACAAAAAAAAAAAACGGGATTCGGAAACCCAATTTCCGAGTGAATTAGGGTGAGAGAAAAAGAGTTGGTGGGTCAATTTGGAATGCCATTTTCCAAATGGAAAAGAAAAAATTGGGGGTCGATTCGGAATGGTAGTTTCCAAATGAAAAAAAATAAAATTGGATATGGTGGGGTCAATTGCGAGTGGTATTTCAAATCCAAATGAATAAAAATAAAATTCAAAAACCCATACCCATACCCAACTATTCGGATAGCAAAATTCCAAATGAAAAAAAAATAAAAACCACCCACCCAACCCATTTTGATAGCAAAATTCCAAATGCAAATAATAAAAATCCATACCCCAACCATTCGGATAGCAAAATTCCAAATGGAAAAATTAAAAATCCATACCCCACTCACACTCTTATTCGGACACTCCATTTCCAAATGCCAAAAGCATACGTGTTCCCAACCCTTCCACACTCTCCACCTACGCTAACACTCCATTCACATATTAAAATCCTTATTTCGTTCTTAATTCTTCACCACAAGACACAATAGTTTCTTCTCACTTCATATATACTTTATACGGAGTATTTCTTAATCTATTGTATTTAGAAATGGCTAGTGCGGATACTGCCGTTGTCGTTCATTGGAATGGCTCTATGATCACAAAAGATAATGAAATAGAGTATTCCACACATCCTAAGGTAGTATTGTTCATTAGCAAAGGAGATGTTTTTCACACTTTGTACGAAGGTGTTCTAAAACACATTAGAGAAGACGGTTTTTCTGAAATAAAATCTATTTATGGAAAAATGCCAAAATTTCAGAATTCGGTCTACGTTGCTTCTAGAGCGTGGCCCATTCACGATGACCGGTCATGGATTTGTTTTTCCCGGGTCGCTTTTCAAGAGTACCAAGAATTGCAAATTTTCGTGGATGTTATAAACAACTCTATGCCCCCCCCCCCCCACAAAATTTGAGCTTCGATGAAGTTGCTACAAATACTACCGCTACGTTTTGCGATATTGGGCAGGGTCAATCATCAACATATGGCCGAAGAAGCAACACATCAACTTTTGTGGACTTCCAATCCCCCTGTATGATTTTACAGGTTTAATATAGTTTCAAATTTAGTGATTTAATATATTCATACGTTTATTATTAATACTGTTATTTGAATAATTTAGTATCAAACTAGAGAAAAGAACAAAGTGAAAATGATGTGTATATACAAAAGAATGTGAAATTTGTAGTTTAGATTATCCAAAAAATATTATGATATTATATGTGGTGAAAATGTGAAATTCCCGACTTTGAACTACATAGTAGTGATGCCGAATCATCCTCTGGAGATGATAGGAATGAGGTAGTAGATACGACATGGGCCACTCTGCAGATACACAAACCGTATGTCGATGCTGACGAACCGTATGTCGAGATTGTAAATCGTGCTTCTGAAATGATTGCAGTCGGCGATAAATTCAAATCCTATGACGAATTAAAAGAAGCTGTGGCCCGAGCAAACATTCGTCAAAAGTCATTTTTCCAGTCGGTTGACAAACGTCCAAGGTCATGGAAGGTTGTGTGTCTCTACCCGACGGAGAAATGCTTGTGGCATATCCAAGCAGGAGCAGACCAAAACTTACTCGTGTGGAAGGTGAAAAAATACCAACCCGTCCACACATGTAGGCCTGATTACACCTTAGTTCGGGATGATAAGAACTTAACAAGCAAGCTCATCGCAACTGAGATAGGTCCTAAAGTGGAGGCGGATCCGGACTACAAAATCAAACTCATATTTCTAGACATTTATATATGAGAAATTCCAAATCTATGTTTCATACAAAAAGGCTTGGTATGGGAAGTTGATTGCTTTAGAGCGCAGATTCGGTAATTGGGAGGCATCATATAATCAATTCCCTAAATTGTTTCAAGCAATAACATATGCCAATCCGGGGAGTCTTGTTCAGATTCAATCGCAACCGACCGAAACTGATGAGATGATATACATCATTTGATAGATGACATACGACTAGTTTCATGAGGAATAAACTAACTAGTTTTAATGCCAATATCTCTGAAAGTATTGGGTTGACATTTAAAATCTTCTTTTATGAGTTATGGTTGTAACAACCCTGACGACAAAAAAATTTCAGAGGCTAGTATGCCGTTTTCCTACGGTTCCTCAACAAAGAGAAATAAAGTGAGGACATTTCAAGTAGCTTTTAGGAAGGATATATGTAGTAGTTCATTTAGAGAGTAGTGATTAGACTCCTACTAAACTAGTATAATATTTTCGTAAGGAACTCTAAAGAAACATTACCTTTCGAGCGTTCCAGTACCGGTTCAACCATAGAGCTGATCTTAAGGGCACACACAGAACAAGAAACATTACAAGAAAATGAACTTTAAGGTCGGAGGAAGGAACTATGAGAAGGTGTATGTAGAGAAATATAGCTAGATAAGACCGTTCTAATCACAAAGAGGAAGATTGCCGAGATTGTGGCAGTTCATAGAATTAAGGGGAGGATGTAATAACACTTAGAAATGATATTGTGGCAGTCCAATTGAAGAATGAGGATGAAACTCTTGCAACATTAGTTGATTGTGTTCGATCTTATGACTACTTTGACAGTTTGACGTAGTATTACGCCTCCAGCACTCCAGCACTTGTCCAAACTCCGCACTCACAAGAGTCAATCTTAAGGATACACACAAAATTGGAACACTAAGAAGAAGATGAGCTTTAAGAGTGGTAACGGCAAAAAAAAAACGATTCTAACGTGCAAAGGGTGCTGCTGCTATTTCACTCGGATTTGGGGAGTTTATTTTCAATTCATAGAGCAGCCACCTTATTTTCCTTCTCTGAAAATTTAAACAGAATAATAGCAAGTTCAATTAATTTTGGTTGGCTGGAGTCCTGCCCGTGTCTTCTTCATCTGGAACTTGGGTATATTGATTCAAAATGAATTGTTTAGTATGGGTCAAGGAGGGGCTGTCTACATCATTCTTTTACAATTGACTTCAAATTTGATTAAAATAGATAAAGAACATTTAATTAATCTTTCAGTCAGTACGTTTCAATTACCGAGTTTTGGTTTACAGTACAATCGATTTCAGCTTTAGCTATAGTATAATGAGATTTAATCGTAATGTTACATTTAATATTTAATTAAAGATTTTAAGAGAAGAGCTTACCGGAAGACGTTATCAAGGTGCCGTACTTAATTGAGTAATTAGAGTTCAGCTTCTACAGGTAAGTTCACTACCACCTGTACATGTTTGTTCAACCAAATAAAAGAAAGAAGTCTGTTTGATTTTTAATAGATGATTTTAGTCTATTTGCTATTATGTGAACTTGGTGAGTTATTTGCTGAGTTATTTTATTTGCTGTATTGAGTTATGTTTTGTCTGACATAGTCAAGATTTTGTCAGTACTTTTATTTTCATATTTGATGTTGTTTTATCCAAACGCCATTATAAAAAACGAACTAATATTTAAAGTGAAAGATTAAGTGATATGTACTCGGGAACAAGTTCCCACAGAGTTACAGAGTTATCAGAGTTTCAGAGAGTCCGACATGTTTAGTGGGTCGCTCCCCTGGGCTGTCGGATTGGCGCCTTTGAGTACATATCACGGGCCCACAAAGTAAAATCAGCCACAAAGAGTATTACAGAAAGTTAATGAGATCTCTTTTAGAAAGTTTTTCAGAAAGTTGTTTTGAGATCTCCTTCAGAAAGTTTTACAGAGATGTTTTGAGAAAGAAATTTTGAGATCTCTCCAGCAGTACTGAGAAATTATTTTAGAAAATATTCTTGTTTTGAGAACTTCCTCAGAATATGTTTGAGAAGTTATGTGTTAGTTACTTGTTCAGTGCTTGCTTGTAGCAAAAAATTTATCTATTGATAAATTGACATAGACTTCTAGATATTTTTTGTGGATCCATAGTGACTTACTAAGCGTAAATCTTATCAGTTTCTTTCTTCGCATGTACAGATACTAAAGGTAAGGTCAAGGCCTAGGAAGGTGATGAGAGAGTGGAACGCGTGCCAAGATGAGTTAACGGGGACGACCGTGGCGGCTTCCAGCTAGCTATTATTATGTTTCAGTATTTCAGTTATTATAATAAAGAGTTTATTATTATTACTTTATTTTATTTAAGGTTTGAAGTTTGAATAAATTCCTGGATCCAGGTGGTTATCAGTTTAAGTGCGAGAAAACACACATCAGTTTTTGGCGCCGTTGCCGGGGACGGTGTCGGTTTTAAGGGTTAATTAATTTCAGCGAGATTTTTTTTAATTAGTTTTTTTTTAGTTCTTCGTGGGATTTTTTCTGTGCTAACCTTTCAGGTACTTGTTCTTAAGAGGATGAGATGAACTCATTCAGCTCGATTTACGGAGGAACACCTTACCCTCAAACCTCCACGGAATATTCACCATTTGCACCATGTCCTCCTTACACTTCTCCTCAACTTTACACACCTCATCAATATTACTCTCTTACACCACAAAATATTCAGCCCTCTTATTCATACACTCCAACCACGCAACCTTTTCATTCCGATTCTTACTATCCTTCATCACAATACCCTTGGGTAAGCGTAAGACCAGGCTCCATTCTTGAATTTATTTTTCTAACTAAAACGCCTGAGAAAATATCTGAATGTTTTAAGGATAGCATTTGTTCCTTCTGTGGAGGAAGTCACCATTTATGTCTTTGTCCCATCAAACCTCTATATGACCAGCCTTACTGGGCAGTTGCATACCCCACTTCTTCCTCCCCACAACTCACAACCACACATGTTTCAGCCACTCATACATCCTTGCCAAGTAATGAGCCACAGAATCAGTGTAAGAAGACACTTTTAGAAACTTCGGCTGAGTACGAAGAGTCTATGAGGGAGAGCTCTTTAGCCATGGAGCAGAGCTATTCAAACATTATGAAGCATATAAATACCATAAGGAGCCATCTGGTAGAAGACCAATCCGAGGAGACCAATTGGGATAATCACGTGAGCGAGTCAGACTATGATGGTGGGAATATGATGGATGATTCACTTCTTGATGCATTTGAAGACCCACCTATGTTTGAAGATGAAGAAGAAGATAATAGTGTTAAGTTGTTTTTAGAAGAATACAAGAAAAAGTTTGAAACGGTACAAGTTGTAACTGATGAAGTCACTAATCACCGCGATTTTCATACAGAAACTCCCCAGGAGTTTGATTTACCATTAGTGTCAACACCTAACAAGGAGGGCAAGATGCAGATTAGTCATGATGATGGTGCTACTGAGGTAGATTTGGGTATTGAAGATGAGTTGGGAGAAGATGATTACACCCTCCAAGAGAGTGGGGGCGAGGTAGATGATGTCTGTAATGAAGAAGTCCCGCTCCACAAGCAAGATTACCTTTCTTGTACACCTGCACCGATCCACTCTTACGTGGTTTCAGATTTGGATTTCTTTGATTCACTACTTGATGATATTCCTTTTTGTACGGAGAGTGACAACATCATCCAAGAAGACCTTGATGAGAACGGTGTTAATGAGAGTTGGGATGCCTTCATGGGGAGTGATACAGAGTCCAGAGGAGAGGTTGTGAATTTTCATGATATTGGTGAGGAAGAAGAAGACTTTTCTATGGTGCAGTTTGATTACGGTGTTGCTCCTACTCTTTGCTTGGAGACATGTTTTGAGCTTCCGGTGATGCCTAGAGTAATCAAAGTTTTCACTCATGTTCCCTATCCACCTGAAGAGGATGAGAGTTTCATACTTCACTTCTGTGCTGATGAGGGTTATGAAGACCATGTGCCGCCTACGCATATTCGAGAATTTAAGGATCTGCGCCACCTAATGGCATTGTTGAGGGGAAGCTGGAGACATTGATTATTAGTGCACCACTGCAGTCTTTGCTATTTGAGAGCGTATGAGGAAGTTGCGTCGGGCAAACGACATTAAAAATAGCGCTTCTTGGGAGGCAACCCAAGCTTATTTCTGCATTTTGTTTGTTTGTTTGTTTGCTTTCAGAAAACCTCCCCCAAAAAAAAAACCCCCAAAAAAAATCCGGGGTGTTTTTTTCGTTTTGTTTTTGTGTTTGTGTGTTTTGTTTTTGCAGCTCAGGGTCTTGCTTTGGGGATGATGTGCCGAGGATCACTTGACTCGGTTTAGTTATGCACCAACCAGCGCCTTAGGGAAGTTTTTATGACTCTAATAATCGCCTGTTTGTAATAATTGACTTGACTTAAGTTGAGCACGCGTGACCCTATCCTCTTTACCCCCTTGTGCATAGTGCATTTTTGGTCATCGAGGGCGATGCCAAAGTTTAAGTGTGGGGGAGTGAATTGGGCATTCGGGCAGTAGTTGTTACATGTGATTATTAGAGTTAGCATGCGCAGGTGTTAGTTGTATATTCATAGAAAATTCATGTCAAAATATTTGAATTTTTTTTCTTTAAATTTTGACTATGCTTTTAGAATGTCCTTGAAGTGTTTAGGCTTAAATTGCTTGCACTATAATTTGGTTGTTGAAAGGATGAAGGCATTAGTCACCCATTGAATGAATTAACAAATTTCCCATTTGACCTGAATAAAGTCCTTTAGGAGAAGCCATTTTGAGCATAACCGTTCTTTGTTACCCAATTAATTGAGCTCCATAGCCAAATGGCCTTTGTGTCATTGCCCGTGAATATTTCTGACATAGTCTTAGTGCTTAGGGAACTAGGGGATTAATTTGCTAAGTTTAAGAAATTTTTGTAGGAGCCATTTTTGGCACTGTTCCTATGCCCCAAATAGGGTAAGAGCAGTCAATTTTTAGGAATTTGATATTTTCGAGGATTGCATTGTAGACATGGATTCACTTTGAATGAATGGACCTTAATTGCTATTTTTCCATGGTGAGGCCAAGATTAGAATGGGGTAATGTCTAGTAAAAATCTGAAAATTGGAAAAATTAATTAGTAGCTAGACCTCTTACCTTGCAAAAAAGAGAATGGGAGCCCCGGTCAAAAAGCGTAAGATGAGACTTGGATATCTTTCGAAAGAAATGGCGTTCTCGTGCCAACATGACAAAGAAAATTAAACCTAATTAAATGAACATGGAGGCTATTGCAAAATTAGCTTTAGTCCTTCGCGTACTTCAAGTATACGTCAAAACACAAATGTGCCGCGGCAGTTTAGCTTAGTTGTATACCATGTCTACTCTTTGCATAGGTTTAAATGATTGTTCCTAATTTGTGGCCTACTAAGTTCTCACCCCAAAATTCTCAAATGCATTGAGTCTTTGTTAGAATGTTCCAAACTCTCAAGAAAGGAACTGTTTATTCTTACCATTCACCCTTTACCACCATTTTCACAAGTCCTTCTGATCGGTAGCTAGTTTATTTGTGTGTGCTGTCACTACTTTGAGGATGTTGTGAATAATTTTATCAAATATTTTAGCTAGAGTACAAAGATGTAGTTTAGGGAAGAATTTTCTTGGTTTAGTCTGCCTATTCTGTGAATATACATTTAACTACGTGTGCATGCTAATTGTTTTGGTTCCATGTGGTGATTATCGTAAGTCCTGTTGTTCAGTTTGCTTGAGGACAAGCAAAGGCTTAAGTGTGGGGGAATTTGATAAGTCCATATTTTGACACGCATTTGATGCGTGTTGAGATCGACTTTTGATGATTTTCCTAGCTTTAAGGTGTTACAAGTCTCAATTTTAGCTCAAGTTATGTTTACCGGGCGTTGGTTCGAGTTTTGTGTTTTTTGTAGTCAAAATCAAGGAATTTGAGCTCGGCACCGGCACTTGAGGAACAATCGGGATGATTTGAGAAGCATTTGAGATTGATTTGAAAGCTTTGGAGGTCACCGGGAGGTTCACGATGAAGATTTGAAGGAAAAAGAGCTCTAGGATTGGCTACGGGGTCAAAAGAAGATGAATGAAGCTTGAAAACGACGATCAGGATGACCTTCTGTCAATCGTTCAAGCATATCTCTTTGTAGATATATCCAATGTACACGATTTAAGTTCCATATGAAAGCTAACTTCAAGTTATACAAATGATATTAAGACACTTTTGCGAGAATATGAGAGGAAGAAGGTGAAAACAGACGATGAAGTCAGATGATCTCTGCTGCGATTTCATAAAGACACCTTCCACCGTTTTGATCATATCTCTTGATTGGATGATTCAAATCACATTCGTCAAATAGGGGTGGATAGAGGACTTCATTATCTACAACTTTCATGAAGCAAGAATTTCCAAATTCGGAAGTTAAGTAGGCACGATCATGCCCTCAAAGTCAGGCACGATCGTGCGTGAAGAGAAAGCATCGCGGAGCTACTGCCTGGAGGGAGGCACGATCGTGCCTGCCCAAAATGCGCGTTTTTGCTCCGGAGGCACGATCGAAGGCACGATCGTGCCTGGCATCGTGCCTAGCATCGTGCCTGCCTCCGAAATCCCAATTCAGCTCAAATTTTACCCGATTTTTCTATTTAAACAGCCTGTAAACCCCCGTGATGAAGGGGGGAGCTTAAATAGAGTGCCTAGCACGAATTTTAGAGGGATTTTCAGCCTTTTTCATCAATCTTTTGGGATTCTTTGTAAGTTCAACCTTTTTAATTAATGACAATTAATTCTTTTTATTCCAATTCTGTTGATTCTTCAATTATGAATTGTGAGTAGTTTTAATTAGGGATTTGGGGTTGATGAAGGGGTTGATCATGATGTATGGATAGATTCCTTTCGGTTTAATTGCATGAATGTCGTTTAATTTGTGTTTAAATAATTTAACTGATATCTCTTGTAACCTGGAACGGCCGCTAGAATTACAATTGCTTGTAGAATAAATTAGGAGAGATCTAATTTATTCTAGGATACATTCATACACACTTAATCGTTCACTAAGAGATTAGTAGCAATTAAGGGGCCGTAAGCTCGCTCGTCTTGGTAATAATTTAGGATCCTGTCGCATGAGAGATCAGCCTAGTCCCCTAATTTATTGTACTCTATGCCGCGAGAGCGGTAAGAACTTAGTAATCATTAGCTAGGCTCAATTAAATTAATTTCATGTAATTAGGCCTGATCAGCCAGAAATCTGGTTACCCCAGAATCAATCTCTGTTCCCTTCGTCATTAATTAGAAAGAACCCCCTAGTTTAATCGTTTTATTCGCATTTTTATTTTCCAGCAACCAATCTCGCACGATGCATTTTTATTTATTTCTTTTTAATCGCTAAATTTAGTTAATCTTTGATTCCCTTTTGTCCGTCCCTGTGGAGACAATACTCGTACTTACACCACT